ATTTTTTAGTTTTCGGCAGACACAACATCTTTGTTTGTATGTGGTGCTGAGGATCGAACCCGGGCCGCACGCATGCCAGGCGAGCATGCTACCGCTTGAGCCACATCCCCAGCCCAGCATGGAGTCTTCAGGGGCCTACAATTTATTCTTTGTTCCAAAGCACGAAATGTGAGAGGTGGCCTTGCAAACCAATGGAGGGTCATCCCAGGTATCAGGAGGGCAGCGATAGAATTGGATCTTGCCACAGAATGGCTCAGGGCTACACAGTGGAAGGGAGCAAGGTGAGAGTTGAGGAAATCATGACTATGATCCAGGTAAGAAAACAGGTCTCTGCTATTGGAGATGGAAAAAAAGAAAGGGCTTCAGAACTCTGGAAATATCCAGAGTTAGTAGGCTTCCTCTCTCTTCTTCCTGAAATACTCTTTTCTCTCCAGCCCATTCCCACCCCTTCTCCATAGTTGGCTAATAGGCATTTGAGTGTCCGGTTCTGAAGTTCAGATCCAGTCGAGGTAGATGATAGGAATTGTCATTCAGGGATATGGCTCTAAACAGTGCAAGCATGATCTCATTCCAGTTTAGAAATCTCACTGGGAATCCTACAGAAAAGATGGTAATTAAAACCTAAAATATGGGGAAGGAGGGGGAAAGTGCTCCGGAATGATATTGGCTAAAACTTAATGTTATATTGTCTATTGTGTGCATGTACAAACATGTAACAACAAATCCCACCAGTATATGCAACTACAATGCACCAATTAAAAAAACCCTAAAACATGGATAAAATCTCAAAAGGAGGGAGAATTGAAAAGATAAGGTGAAGGACAGTGTTCTAGAGAACACCAACCCTAAGGGATAGGCAGAGGAAGAAGAGAACAAAAACGAAGAGAAGCAAAAGAGAAAAAAGAGGCAGCATAGTGCTGTGATTAATATATAAATTTTGAAGCTGGACAGCCAGGTTCAAAGCCTGGCTCATAACCACCTAATAGTGTGATCTTGGACAAATTCCTTAAACTCTCTGACTCAGTTTTCTTACCTGTAAAATGGAACAAATAAAAGCACATACCTTTATGGTAATAAAGATTGAGTAAATATTTTTAAAGCAATTAGTGGGGCTGGGGATGTGGCTCAAGTGGTAGCGCGCTCGGCTGGCGTGCCTGCGGCCTGGGTTCAATCCTCAGCACCACATACAAACAAAGATGTTGTGTCCGCCGATAACTAAAAAATAAATATTAAAAAAATTCTCTCTCTCCTCTCTCACTCTATCTTAAAAAAAATGTTTAAAAAAAAAGCAATTAGTGTATGGCACATGGTGGTCATTATATATGTTATATGAATAAAACAAAGTAGTAGAAGAGAATAGTCTCACACATGGGAGTGATAGAATGAAGGGCCAGCATAAATATAATTGAGAGGTTCAATAAGACAATGGAAAATAATCATTAGATTTCTCAGTAGGGGCATGTGGCAGAGAAATGAGTGTTGTCTCCAAAACTACATTTGTGAACCCATTTCCTTTTGCTCTCTTTTTTTTTTAATATTTATTTTTTTAGTTTTTGGCGGACACAACATCTTTGTTTGTATGTGGTGCTGAGGATCGAACCCGGGCCACACGCATGCCAGGTGAATGCACTACCACCTGAGCCACATCACCAGCCCTCCTTTTGCTCTTGAGCAACCAGATTATATTCTATTCTACTCTGTTTTTAGATTAAGCCAAGTGATTGTATTCTAGGCAATGAAATATAGGCAGAAATTAAATGCCATTTCCAGATCTGGCTCTTAAAATGTCTTGTGAAATTCTTTACATTCTTTCTCTCTCTATCTCCCTTTTTCCCTAACAGTACTGGGGATTGAACACCCAAGGCCTTGCACATGATAGACAAGTGCTGTACTACTGAGCTACATCCCCAGTTACAGGTGCGCGGGCGCGCGCGAGCACACACACACACACACACACACACACACACACACATTTTTTTGGTGGCGTTGGGAATCAAACCCAGGACCTTATGAATGCCAGGCAAGGTACTTTACTACTCACCCACATCCCTAGCCCATGAGCCACATCCCCAATACCCAAGCCCTTTTGTATTTTTTATTTTGAGACAGGATCTTGTTGAATTGCTTATGCAGGCCTTGAACTCATGATCCTCCTGCCTCAGCCTTCCAAGTAGCTGGAATTACAGATGTGCACCACCATACCCACCTATGTTGTCTTTTGATCCTCATGTTACCATAATTACAGAGGACATAGTAGAGAATTCTGAAGCCTTAAGGAATGGTAGAGCCACTAGGACTGTGGAGCCTAGGTCCCTGAATGCTGCATAGAGCAAAACTTACCCCCATCCCAAATATACACCATGGATTATAATACCAAGCCACTGAGCTTGTGGTTGTTTGCCACCGAGTTGAGGGTTATAGCAACCAAGGTTACTGACTAATACAGGGTAAAAGACATCCTATAATTTTTGTGCAGCTGAGAGTAGAGGATGAGAAAAAAGACTATTTTTTAGAAACTGGGTAGAGAAAAGAATGATAAACCCAGGATTAGAGGCACAGGCCTATACTCCCAGTTACTTTGGAGGTCAAGGCATAATTCAGGGTCCTTCAGCAACTTAGAGACCCTGGGTCAAAAAAAAAAAAAAAAAAGACTGGGGATGTGATTCAGTGGTAAAACACCCCTTGGTTCAATTCCAAGAATCAAATATTAATAATAAGAAAGAAAGAAGGGATTATCTAGAGGAGAATACAAGGTTGAAGGAATACGTTTTTACATTTCCTTTGGCTTCTATGGCACTCGTGAGTTATGCATTGTCCAAGAACCCTGAGGCCCTTCTAGATAATTCCTCCTTGATCTTTCCTTTCTCGATCAAGTTTCTTAAAAACAAAACAAACAAACAAACAAAAAAAACCTCCATCTTTTCAGACTCTACTCTTTGCTGCACATAATATAATAACTATCTTTTGTCTGTATTAGGGTAACAACCCCTAAAACTCAGGGACCCCTGAGTTTTAGGGGTAGGAGGGGCTAGCACAAAAACTTGGTTTCTGCCCTCCCCCACACCCCCATTTCAGGCAGTCTTCTGAGACCATCTGGTCTTGCAATTCCCCTGTCTGGTCTTTCAGGAAGCTCCTCTAGCATACTCTGGTTTTTTTTTGTTGTTTTGTTTTGTTTTTGTTTTGTTTTGTTTTTTAAGTGTTTTGTAAACTTGAATGACCCCAGTTAGGAAGACTAAGTAAGGCACTAAGGGTCAAAGCCATCATCCCCCAGATGTTATTCCAGAAAATACACCTCTGGGATCTGGGAGGAAGAGTGCTGGGTAGGCCTCATCTAAGTCATTCTCCTTTCCCTCCAGAAAGTGACCTGGAGAGATACAGAGGAGACTAAGGAGATGTTCCTAAAGAGATGTTCCTGGTGCATGCCTGTAATCTCAGCGGCTCAGGAGGCTAAGGCAGGAGGATTGTGAGTTCAAAGCCAGCCTCAGCAACAACTAGGTGTTAAGCAACTCAGTGAGACCCTGTCTCTAAATAAAATACAAAATAGGGCTGGGGATGTGGCTCAGTGATTGAGTGCCCCTGAGTTCAATCTCTGATATCTCTGATATCCTCTACCCCACCCCACCCTCTGCCAAAAAAAAAGGAAATGTTCCTGAAGGAGGTCAGAAATCAGTTGTCCTGAACTAGGGAGGGGCATTGAAACACTGGTGTCTCTGGTGTCCACTCAACAAAGATATCTGCAGAAGTAGAAAAGTAAGGTTCTGATCCCAGTCTCAATCCCTCCTATACCAGTGGGAACAGGTAAAACTCATCCTTCAGTTCCTGCTCTCTGTCCTGGACATAGTGGCCTCTTCAGATTCCAATCTGAGGACTCTAGGGCAGAGATCAGGTAAATGACCAGTGACCCAATTTTTGTAGCTCAGCTACAGAAATACCTGGCTCCGCCTGGCCTGGCTTGGAGGAAGGGGCCTCCCTGCCACAGTTCAGCTTTCAGCTCACTAGGTTTCTGTCCTGAATCCCATCGAAGTCTCACAGCACTGGGAATTTTCTTGGAAATCTACATTCAAATTTCAGCTTAGCCACTCATTCTCTGGGTAACCTGAGGACTCTGGTCCCCACTATGATATGGGGAGGAGATTTAGCAATATTTAAATGGCTCTTTGGGAGTGCCTGGTGAAGGAGATGGAAATTTACCCCCCACCCCATAGGCCCCAGGGATCTACAACTGTTCCCCTACCTGCCCTCGTGTCCTGCCCTAAATGAGCCTGCCAAAAGTAACTGACCAACTGACCTGGCCCTGCTAAACTCTATAAACCCAGATCCTTGTTGGAGCCCGCCATCATTTTCCCCTTTCTAAAATATGACCCTCTGTTGCTTAATAAAGCATTACTGGTCTATTGAGGTCTGCCTCCATTTTCTTTTCATATTCTCTTTCATGTGCTTTCACCAGGGGAAGAATTAATTTGAATCTGTTTTAGTGTTAGCTAATCCATCTGATAGAAGAAAAACTTGGAGAAGGGGATATATAAAGGAAACAAACACTTCTGATGCCTCCCAGATAGCTGGAGCTACTTTGCTATTGATAGTCCTTCTTCACCCACCTGCTTATCTTTCTTTCTTTCTCTCCCTTTTTCTCCCCCTGCCCTTCCTTGCTTCTTTCTTTCCTTCCTTCTCCCTCTCTCTTTCCTTCTCTTTTTCTTTCTTTGTTCTTGACACTGGTCTCAAATGATCCTCCCACTTCAGCCTCTCAAGTAACTGGGACTACAGGTGTGCAATTCACCATGTTTGGCTCTTTTTTTATATATATATATTTATTTTTTAGTTTTAGGTGGACACAGTGTCTTTATTTTATTTTTATGTGGTGCTGAAAATCGAACCCAGTTCCTCACACATGCTAGGTGAGCACGCTACTACTTGAGCCACATCCCCAGCCCATGTCTGGCTCTTTTTATATCACTTATAGCCCTGTTACCTTTCCCATTTCTTGTGTTTTTCATCTGTGTATGTGTGTGAGGGAGAGCATGAACGAGAGATAAATATTGTTACTTACCCCCCCACACACAATTGTTTCTGCTGTACTCCTCCAGGTAACGCCTGAGGGACTAGTGTTCAGCTATCAAGGCCCACCTGCACCTGCAGGATTAACCTCTTTTCCACCACAGCTACTGAGCAGGTGACTCAGGTGTTTGTTAGGTCCAGAGTCATAGCTCTACTAGAATAAAGTTCTGAGAGAGTAGAGGCCATGCCTAACTTGTGTGCACAGGAAAATCCTAGCCTAGATGCTTAGCACACGGCTGATGCTCAGTAAGAATTTGCTGAATGAATGGCCAGATGAATGAATGAGTGCAGCAAAGAAATCTTGTAAACGTCCTGGGGCAGAAGGACTCTGCAGTAAGCTCCTTTCACAGAGGATTTTCCAGTACTGAATCTAGCCCTGGGTGGAGGGCTATCGTGTAGTTCAGCCTGCTTCTCTGCAGTCCTGAGCCCCGCCCTCAAGTGGCTGGCAGGCCTCTCAGGTTGTCACGTGTTGGCTGCCGGCCAATGATCGGGACGCAGGGCGGGGCGGATAGAAATGGAAGGGAGAGTTGTGGCCCCACTGGCGTTCCTGAGGATCCCGGGGGTGGCCTCATGTCGCTCGGCGGAACCGATTCTGAGCAGCGCCGGCAGGCGTCAGAGGCGGACTTCGCCGCAGCAACCTTCCGGGCTAGCGGTAATTGTAGGGCTGCCCGGTCTCGCTGGGACGCAGAGTCCTCCTCTTCCTTAGAAAACTCCCTTGCCCCGTAACTCAAGGTCCGTGGGGCCCACCCGGACTGAGAGAGAAGAGCTGTAGGGCATTTGGTGTTGGGAAGGTTCAGCCCAGGGTCTTTAGCACCTTCCTGAGCTGAACGGGGCCCAGAGGACGTCACCCTGCTGGTGGGTGAAGTTCAGGGGAGAGGGTTACAGAGCTTTGCTGACTGATCTTTGCTGACTGTTTGCCCCCAGAGCATCAGCATATTCGCTACAACCCGCTGCAGGATGAGTGGGTGCTGGTGTCAGCTCACCGCATGAAGCGGCCTTGGCAAGGGCAAGTGGAGCCGCAACTTCTGAAGACAGTGCCCCGCCATGACCCCCTAAACCCTCTGTGTCCCGGGGCCACACGAGCCAATGGAGAGGTAAACCTGTACAGCCCACACCCACAAAGTCAGCCAGAAGGGAGTAGTCACCCCTTAGAGCTGCCCTTCATCCACAGGTGCAATGGACCTCCTCTGAGTCATATCCCACCAAGTCTTTTGGTTCCCTGGAGGGGTCTTCTCCATTCCTTGCACCCTGTGCTGCCCTTGAAGCCCACTAGGTGGTGTAATGGAGCAGTGAATGCTTCTAGCCCATCTTTGTCAGTAGGTGAATCCCCACTATGATGGCACTTTCCTGTTTGACAATGACTTCCCAGCTCTGCAGCCTGATGCTCCCGATCCAGGTATCCTGATTTTAATTACTGTTGGGGAGGAAGGAGAATAGACCTCTTGGAAAACTTTTGCTTCTCAGATGTCCCTTTATTTTAGGACCCAGTGATCACCCTTTGTTCCAAGCAGGGGCTGCTCGAGGAGTTTGGTAACTATGGATTTCCCCTCTTACAGCCTTCAACCCAGGGTTGAAGATTAAGCCCTGTGGTTGGACCCTGCCCCTAGCACCCAAGCTCTGTCCTATGTTGTCCCTTTTCCCCTCACTGCCTAGTAAGGTCATGTGCTTCCACCCCTGGTCGGATGTGACACTGCCACTCATGTCAGTCCCTGAGATACGAGCTGTCATCGATGCATGGGCCTCAGTCACAGAAGAGCTGGGTGCCCAGTACCCTTGGGTACAGGTCTGTTTGTTTCCTGCATGGGCAGGGAGGGGGCAGTAACAGGTTCAATTCAAGGGATTAGCATTTCCACAGGGTATGGTTGGGAGGGAGTTGATATGATTTTTTTTTCTTTTTTTGCTATTAAATCTTCCTACCCCTACCCAATAGATCTTTGAAAACAAAGGAGCCATGATGGGATGTTCTAACCCCCACCCTCACTGCCAGGTAAATGTGTTATGTGCTCTAGTGGCTTTCGTGGCTGGATCCAAGCCAGCACTGTGGGAAGGGTAACTGGATAAAGGGATGAGACAAAGAAAATATGCTAGTGATATGGAGGCTTGGAAGTAAAGTATCTGCCTGCTCTTCTCTTGACAGGTGTGGGCCAGCAGTTTCCTGCCAGATATTGCCCAGCGTGAGGAGCGGTGTCAGCTGGCCTATCAAAGCCAGCATGGCGAGCCCCTTCTGATGGAGTATGGTCGCCAGGAGCTACTCAGGAAGGTTAGAGATTGCCAGGCCCTGTGTTTCCAGAGTCCTCAGCCTTCTTACCCCAAAAGAGATGTGTGTGAAGAATAGGATAGAAGGTAGCAAGAGACTTGATAGAAGACACTAGTTGTGATCTAAAGGAAAGATGATAGTAGCTTAGGACTAGGGTGATAGTGGTAGAAGTGGTGAGAATCCATCAGATTCTTTTCTTTTGCTTCCCATACCTATTTACAGTTCCCACCTCATTTAGCATACCCACTTTGATAAATTCATCTCCATTCTATGTGCCCAGGAGCGTCTGGTCCTAACTAGTGAACACTGGTTAGTGCTAGTCCCCTTCTGGGCAGTGTGGCCCTTCCAGACACTATTGCTTCCCCGTCGGCATGTGAGGCGGCTGCCTGAGCTGACCCCAACTGAGCGTGATGGTGAGTCTCTCAGCTAGGATCCTGGGGCTGGGCATTGGATGGGGCTGGCTCTGGTAGGGCCAGTATCTGGTTCCCAGGCTAAGAGTCAGGCACTAATTCCAGATCTAGCCTCCATCATGAAGAAGCTCTTGACCAAGTATGACAACCTGTTTGAGACATCCTTTCCCTACTCCATGGGCTGGCATGGTGAGGCTTTTTATGTATATATCTAGCCCAACATTTCTTGACTCCCAGGTTCTAGTTCAGGGGGCTAAAATCCTTACCAGGTTTTGAAATACTTACTGGGGATTGTTCAGATCAGGGATACTTAACTGAGGGTGGAGCAGCAAGCTTGGCGAACTGTTATCAGGTACTGTGCAGATCTCTGGTGAAAGAGATGTAGTTTTCAGGTATTTGACCTGTTTTGGGGTAGAGGCTAGACTGAAGAACTGAGAAAGGGCTCTTACCACCATCTCTGCCTCTTATTTCCTATCAGGGGCTCCTACAGGATCAGAGGCTGGTGCTGACTGGGACCACTGGCAGCTGCACGCTCATTACTACCCTCCACTCTTGCGCTCAGCTACTGTCCGGAAATTCATGGTTGGCTATGAAATGCTAGCCCAGGCTCAGAGGGACCTCACCCCTGAGCAGGTCAGGACTCTGGGGCATCCTGGATCTCCAGATCACATTTTCTCTTCCACTTTCCCAGGGCACTCTAACAATCATGACTCTGAAAACCCCTATTAAAACCTAGGTATTCCTAGGTACTCAGGAGCTGCTCAACTCTAACTTCTCTTGTGACTTCAGCAGTCTTGTCACCAGTCTCCCAGTCCCATAATCCCTAGTGTCTTCTGGGTGCTAAGAATTCCATCCTGTCATTCTGGCTGACCTTCACCCTCCCTGATTGTTCCTTATCTCCCTTCCAGGCTGCAGAGAGACTAAGGGCACTTCCTGAGGTACATTACTGCCTGGGGCAGAAGGACAGGGAGACAGCCGCCATCGCCTGACCATGCTGACCACAGAGCCTTGAATCCTTCTCCCTGAGGGAATTGGGTCCTGGAATTTGGAGATTAGCGTCAAATAAAACTGTGCTCTCAAACTTTAATCACGTATTCTGACACCAGAGGAACTGTAACCTTCAGGGATCGGGTTAAAAGCCAAGGGTACAGTTCCAGCGACAACTTTTCCTTGCCTGCAGATGTGCAAAAACTTGATGCAAAAATTCTACCTCAAATCTCTGAACAAAATTAATATTCAGTATTGCATCTGGCCTGTAGATTTCTTTGTGGTATAAATGGCATTCCATCTTAGAAAACTGTTTAAAGCTGGGTGGGGTGGCATATACCTCTACTCCTAGCTACTTGGGATCCTGAGGCAGGAGGATCCTGAGTTTGAGGCCAAACTGGGCAATTTAGTGAGACCTTGCCTTAAAATAAAAATAAAAAAGGTTAGGGATGTAGCTCAGTAATAGAGCACTTAGCACTTGTCTAGCATGTGCAAGGTCCTGGATTCAATCTCAATCTCTAGTACTACCAAAGAAAGAAAGAAAGAAAGAAATAGTAAACTATTTCAAAAGCTTGTGTTCTTAGTATATGGGTTCAATCTCAATCTCTAGTACTACCAAAAAAAAAAAAAAAAGAAAAGAAAAGAAAGAAAGAAAAAACTATTTCAAAAGCTTGTGTTCTTAGTTGTGGCTAAGGCTTTGGGAAGGCCAGTGCTCCCTTCACCACCAAGCATGGTGTTAGCTCACCAAGTCTGAGCTTGAGGATTTGGTGGGGAGAGGGTAAGCAGGAGCCTAGTCTCAGTGGTCAGTGACCAGACCTTGGGCTTCTTGCCAGAACCCTGGCTTTGTGAGTGGCTATAATTTGGCTCTGCTCCAGCCCACAGGGGCTAAAGGGGCGGGTAGGGAGCATGTAGGTGGCTTTGTGTTTTGGCTTCTCTAGACTCTCACAGTATGGGCTGGCTCAATTCAGTTGCCTCTGTGCCCTGATCATTGCACAGGGTAGAAAACAGCTCTGGCAGAGAATGGGCAGCCAGAGTTAAGAGCCCCAAGGCCTAGAAGTGTTACCGCTATTTACTGGTGACGAGTCCTTGCTTCCCCAATGCTGAAGTATAACACCAAGGCAAGTTTAGAATGGAAAGTAGAAGCTTTATTAAAGGATAGTAGAAAAGACCTCCCCAGAGGAAGAAGGGGACCCAAAAGGTGGAATCTGTGGAAGGGCGTGGTCTTCCCCCTTTTATATCTAAGATCTTCTTTCAGTTTCCCCGCATTCCTGTCCTTTGTTATCTTGCAGTGTCAGAATGTAGGTGGGAAGGCCCAAAGGGTGGGGGACCTGTGGGCTGAAGGAGTAATGTGGGCAGGAAGGGCTTCTGGATTAGCATCTCCATGTTTGCTGGGAGCTGCATCATTAACATTTCCTTGGATGGGCTCCAGGCCTTGGGGACTTTAAGATTTCAGTTCCCCCAAGTGCTGCTCTGGTTTCCTGGATTCCATTCTCAATAATGTCCTCCATTTTATTCATCTTACTCAATATTAGAACCGATTTACCTAACTACACTAACTACCTATCTTTAAAATCTGGCTTCAGAAAGAGGGTACAGTTCTCAGAATGACCCTGGGTCTAACCCTACTGTTCTGGATCTTTCCCTGTGTAACAGTAGGAGAAGACTGATGCCACCTGGTAACCTCCAAATTTTAAGGTGAATGGAATAACCAGGATGGTTAGACTGCTGGGTCTTCACTCTTTTCCCAGGGGATCCTGAGTCTCTGGGCCCGGAAATCACGCTAAGGCTGAACAGTGATTAGACCTGGCCCAGAAGAACCTTGGCTGCCTGTCTCCCATTCCAGGATCTTTTTTTTTTCTTAAATCTTGGAGGGGAAGTGCTTGGGACTTGTGAGTGTTGTCCTGGTCTGGAAGGAGATCAGACAGACATAGTACTCTTTTGAGCCTCCAGGGATTGGGGAGTAGATGAGAGTCCTATGTGGGTGGCTGGTTTCTTAAGGCATACCTAAAGACAGATACACATAGGCCTCTATTTTGGTTACATTTTGGAATCCTCTGGGGGAATTTTAAAAATACTGGCATGTAGGTTCAACCTCCAGGATTCTTGTATGGGGTGGGGCGTGGCAGTGTTAAAATCACAACACCAGCAGAATTTGAAAACCACTCCTCTAAACAGCCCTCCTTCCTATCTTATCTGGAACTAGGGGCACCTTCAGCTTCTCCAGTCACCTGCCCAGTGGCTCCTAAGCCCTGAACCTGAGGCCTGCTCTGTGTACAGCCAGAAATGGGAAGGGCCTGAGCACTTTCAAACCTGCTGTCCAGGGGCGGACAGGCCTTTAACTCGAGACCCCAGCAACCCAGTTTCTAAGCCTCGGTCATCGGGATCCTCCTCCATCCCCGGGACGGGACAGGAAGTGTCCGGCCGAGGTGGGGGTGGAAGTGATTGGCAGTTGGAGGCTCCAATGGGCCGGGAGTCCCCCCTTATTTCACCTCTCTTCTTCCATTGGTGCCTGGGTGGAGCCGCCCCCACTGCGGGGCCCCGGGCGGGAGGGAGTAGAGGCCGGGGCAGAGGGCGAGGGCGCTGGCGGCGGCGGCCGCGGAAGGTGAGGCCTGGTGGGGTGGCGGGTGTAGACAATGAAGTCTTGCCAGGAGGGGCGGGGCAGGGTGGTGTGTAATCTAAAGTGCTGGGGCTTATCAACGGACTGTTAGTGTGTTTGTGTGACTCTGAGGCTATGTCTATGACAATGTCAGTGTGTGAAACTTCGCAACTAATTGACACTTGGTGCAACTGTCAGCTAATGTGACTGCGTGTGTCAGCGTGCATATAGCTGAGACTGCATGTGGTCGTGCAAGGGTGGGATTATGTCTATATCTGTCAATGTGCAGTTTGGGGTGAGATGGGCTGTGTGTTTGTGTGTAAGAGGGTCTGTGACCACATCAGGGAATGCATTTTGGGAAGGTCCCTGTGGAGTTTAAAACTGCCAGGGCTGGGGCTGTAGCTCAGTGGCAGAGCACTTGCCTAGCATGTGTGAGGCACTGAGTTCGATCCTTAGCACCACATAAAAATAAACAAATAAAGGCAAGCTGTCCATCTACAACTACAAAAAAAATTAAAAAAATAAAAAAAACTGCCAGTGTGAGAGTGGGTGGCTGTTTGTGTGTGCCAATGTGTGACTAGAGGAGCAAGAGTGAGACTTGTGACTATGTGTAGCCACATTGCATTTCCATAGAATTGATGTTCAACTTATCCTGCACCTTAGACAGACCCATTCCCAGCATACATGGGTTCCTCTGCTTCCTTTGCTCAATTATCTGGGGGTCTGGGGGTGTAACTCAGTGGTAGAACATGTGGTCTAGCATAAGTGAAGCCCTGGGTTCAATCCCCAACTGCTTGCCTCTCAACCAAAAGAAAAGAGTTTTCATCACTGGTCTATTGCACCTTATTTTCTGTTTCCTTGTATTTCTTTTTCTCACCCTGTGACTATCTTTCTGGAAATAATTATCTCTGCAGTTTTGTTCCTCAGGTGTCTTGAATCTGCTTTTCTAGTTCTGTTGTTATGTGCTGTTTCTTAGTGTTTCTATGCCTGACTCATCTGTTCATCCTGTCCTTTCGATCACCTGGGGACTGTAATAGTGATGAGATGCTGATACCATTGGTAAAAGCTCCAGGGAGAGATGGCTTAAACTATGAAGAGTTGCACAGGGGCACAGTATATGTATGTGTATGTGGGTGTATAGATATGTGTAAATATGTCTGAGTCTGAGTGAGGATGTCTGAGTATATCAGTGTGACTGAATAACTATTTGTGAGTTTGAGGTTAAGTGTGGGTCTTGTATATCTGGCACCAAGGGACCAAAGGCATTTCCTGATGCTGAGGCCCAAAAGTTGAAGGGAAAGGTGAGAAATGGCTGGGACCTCCAGGGGAGGGGGAACTGAACTCTTTGGCCTTTCCCTTATATCCCTCAGCCTGGGGCCTTTCTTCTCTGGAAACACAGCCATCTATTCCCTAAGGAAACATTTGCTGTGGAATGAAAAAGAGTGAGAGCATGAGCTTGTGTCTGTTTTTTTGTTTGATTGTGTCCATGTGTGTTCAAAGGATTGTCTTTTTGTTAACTATACCCAGTGATTCCATGCATGAATGTAACTATGTGTGACTGGGTGAAAACACAGGGATTTTCTCACTGACAGGGACATAAGCATAAGCAATTCTCCTCTCCTTGCTGGTCCTGGCTGCATCTGTGGCTTCCTTTCCAGTCTGGGGGGAGGCCTCTTCCCTTCCCAGGGCCTCGGTTGGGAGGGGAGGAGGGAAGAGGAGGGAGGAAGGAGGAGGAAGGAGGGGGCCTGGCTAGGGGTGGTTAAGCTTGGGCCCAAAGGGGGGCGGGGCAGGGAAAGAGGGAGGGGATGGTTCTGGGGTCCCAGAACTGAGTGGAGCAGAAGCTTGTGCTGTAGCTGGTAGAAGGACGCCCTGGAGGCCATGGACAGTCAGTTACTGGGATCAGCAAGGTAAGGCAGAGCTAAGCAGGGTAAATGTGGCTGGGGGGTGGAGAGGAAGGCAGGAGTGAGCCCATTCTATCCTGAAGGGGTCCTTGTTATTCCTCTCTGGCACTCTTGCCCAGGGCTTTCTCCCTATCTGCCTTTTCCTCATGGTTTTCTCCTCCTGTTCATCTGCCAACCTAGAACCCTGTCTTCTAGCACTGGCTACTCTCTCTGTACACTCCTTCTTAGACTTCTTGATTTCCTAGTATTCCTTGTTGAGCCCCCATCACCGGCTGGTCCTCATCACTGAGTGATCTCTTGGTGTTGTACCCCCTACCCTGCTGCCGGGCCCTGTCCCTGCAGGCTCCCAACTCCCTCCCCTCTCCGCCACCCTGTCTCCATCTCCATCTGCTGGCTCCTCGCCCGCCCCCAGCCTCTGGCAGCAGCCAGGGCATCTGGATCCGCTTAACTGCAGCCCTAGCCTGCACCCTAGGCCCATCCGGCTTCACAGGCTCAAGACCAACACGATTTCAAGCCAGGCCCAGCTGAATGGCCCAAGTAGCCAGAGCAAGAAGCCAGGCCCAGGCTTACAAGGTGTTAAACCCACCATCTTAGCCCCCCACCCCAGGGTGATAGGTTTGCCCCAGGTTAGTTACAGGCAGTGATTAGCTATGGACAGGTGGAAGTGAATGCCAGAATTTCCAACAGCTGGATTGGAGGGGTTAATGGGAGTGGCTGAGCCAGGGCCAGCCCTTGGTGCCAGGGGTGGGCACAAAGGGCAGTGTTGGGGGGTGGATGCTGGCACTGTCTGTTGCCTCCGGCTTTTGTTCTGGGCCCTAAGCCCAGTACTGAGATGGAGGGTGTGAGGGTGTGTGTGTGTGTGTGTGTGTGTGTGCATACAGCTATATGGTGAGAAAGGGGAGCGCAGGTCAGACCTCTCAATAATTTCTGATAAGCTCACTCTACTTCGTGTTCAGTTTTTCTCCTAGGAAGCCCCAATTTTGAAGTGGAGAGGAAGAATGAGGTTTTAGCTTCCTATCTTAGGGATGGGGTACTCCTGACACTGTCTCTCTCTCCGCAGATGAGCAGCAGCTGCTCAGGGCTGAGCAAGGTCCTGGTGGCTGTGGCTACAGCCCTGGTGTCTGCTTCCTCCCTCTGCCCCCAGGCCTGGGGACCCCCAGGTGAGAAGAATGCTGTTCTGTGACCCCCAGCTCTGACTTGGGACTTGCTACTCTCACTGTGGCCCCATCCCATTCCTAACTTGTAATAATCAGGGTCATGTCTCTACTTTGACCTCTGATCTCTGTCAGATCATTACAAATGCTTTGACCCAAAGCTCCGTACCCTCTCATTCTCACAAAGTGAGGAAAAGTCTCACCTCAGAAATGCCCTCCACAGGGGTCCAGTATGGGCAGCCTGGCAGATCCGTGATGCTGTGTTGCCCTGGAGTGAGTGCTGGGTAAGTGTCCTCCCCACTTCTGCCCCACCCCGCCTGTTGATCTGACACTTTTTTTTTTGGTGGTGCTGGGGATTGAACCAAGGTCCTGTGCATAGTAGGCAAGCACTTTACCACTTAGCTACACTTTCATGCCATTTAAAAATTTTATTTTGAGACAAAAATCTAAGTTGCTGAGGCTGACCTTGAACTTTCCATCCTCCTGTCTCAGTCTCCAGAGTGGCTGGGATGGTAGGCATGCAGCACCACACCTGGTTTATGACCCTTTCTTTTTTTCTTTTTTCTTTTTCTTTTTTT